CGGCTCCTCCCACGCCCCGCGCGCCCGGCCGAGGCCCGAGGCCAGCAGACCGAGGGGAAGGGTGAGGGGGGGATGCGCCCGGAATCCCGCCCCGGCGGCGGCGGTGATTGACACTCCAGAGGGCGGCTCGCGCTTTTTCCGAGCGCACCGCCCGCCCAGCCAGCCAATGAGCTCGGGCCAAGGGCGGGCCTTGGCAGCCTGAACCGTCGCTACTTGAGACTCGCCGCTGAGGGGAGTTCAGAGCCGAGCGGGGCCGGCCGAGGAGAGGGCGCCCGAGCTGAGAGGAGTTTCGGGCGGGCGGGCGCGCTGCTGCCCGTCGGAGCCGCGGAGGGAGGGAAGGGGGGAGCCGCAGCGCTTGGACGTCGGCGGCGGCTGAGGAGCAGCAGCAGAAGGAGCGAGGAGGACGGGGACGAAGAAGAGGCGCCGGCTCCAGGCAGCCCCAGGAGGAGCCGCCGCCGCCCCCATGGCGAGCGGAGGACTTTGAAGGAGTTCGGGGGCTCGGCCAGGATCTGGGCCACTCCGGGTACGGACTTGGCGCTTTCCCCGCTCGCTCGCTCGGTCGGTCTCGCTTTTGCCTTCGCTTCCTTCGGGAAGGTCAGCGCCGGGGCAGGCTCGGCTCGCGAGTGGGAAGGCAAGGGAAAGGCGAAGAAGCAGCAGCGGAGGAGGAGGAGGAGGAAGAAGAAGCAGCAAAGGCGGAATATTTTGTTTGACAGGAGCAGGACCCCGCGTCGTGTGTCTCCCGCCTGCCCCCGCGCTTGCCTGGGCTTTTCCCTGCCTCTTCCCTTGGCGGAGGGGGAGGCTGTCCGCTCGCCTACTCCGGGTCGGAGCCGGCAGGCGAGAAGCGAGGCGGGCCACCCACCACCGCCGCCGCCGGAGACAAAAGCGGGACCCGCCGCGCTCGCTCCCCCACCCCCCGGGCCGACCGCCTGCTTGCCTGCCTGCCTTCTCCGCTTCCCTTCGCGGGGGTGCCTCTCCTTGGCGTCCTTGCGGGAAGCAGAACCCCGCCAGGGAGGGGAGGCTGACTGACTGACTGACTGGCCCCCAAGCAGGGTCTCGGGGTCCCCCCCCCTTATCGCCTTCCAGGCACCGGGCGGGCTCTCCGGGGAAGGAAAGCAGCCGCCCTCCTTAACCGGCTCCCGGGAAGCAGGGCAGCCTCGGCCGCCGCCACCGCCTTCTGGCCTCTTTCGGGGGGGAGTACCTGCCAGGAGAAACGGGCGGGCGAGCGAGAGAAGGGGGGGGTGTTTGGGGCTCCGAGACCCCGACCGCCCTTGGCCGCGGGGAAGCGGGGCGATTCCGCCTCCCCCGCATCTAGGCGTGCACCTGCCTGGCCGTGTTCGCGGGCGGGGTGTGTATGTGTGAACGTGTGCGTGCGGGTGTTGCCTCTCAGGTATCCCCTCCACGAGGCGTGGGGGGTAGAGTTCCAGGTCCCCCCGATTGCTGCCCAACCTGCTTTTCTCTCTCTTTCGCTCTCGCTCTCTCTCAGATCCGGCGCTTGGTGCTCCCGCCTCGCCCTGTCATTGATGGGAAACCAACTGGATCGCATCACCCACCTGAATTACAGCGAGCTGCCCACGGGGGACCCTTCGGGGATCGAGAAGGACGAGCTGCGCGTCGGGGTGGCCTACTTCTTCTCCGATGAGGAGGAGGATTTGGACGAGCGAGGGCAGCCGGACAAGTACAGCGTGAAGGGCTCCGGCAGCCCGGCCCCCGAGACGCCCACTCACCATCATCACCACCACCACCACCATCATCCTCACGCGCCCCAGCTGGTGCTGAGCGAGACCCAGTTCTCCGCCTTTCGGGGCCCAGAATGCATCTTCTCCAAAGTGAGCGGCGACCCCCAGGCGGGCGACCTGAGCGTCTACCCGGTCTCGGCCCTGCCGGCCCTCTGCCAGCCCGGGGACCTGCTGGAGCTGCTCTACCTGGGGCCCTCCGACCACCACCCGCCGCCGCCCCCGCCCCACTGGGCCGTCTATGTGGGCAACGGGCAGGTCATCCACTTGCACCAGGGCCAGATCCGCCAGGACAGCTTGTACGAGGTGGCCGCGGGCAACGTGGGCCGGGTGGTGAGTAGCTGGTACCGCTACCGCCCCCTGGTGGCCGAGCTGGTGGTGCAGAACGCCTGCGGGCACCTGGGCTTAAAGAGCCACGAGATCTGCTGGACGAACTCGGAGAGCTTCGCCGCCTGGTGCCGCTTTGGCAAGCGGGAGTTCAAAGCCGGGGGCGAGCTCCAGCCGGCCTCGGGCTCGCAGCCTCCCCACCAGCAGTACTACCTGAAGATCCACCTGGCCGAGGACAAGGTGCGCACGGTGCGCTTTCCCAGCCTTGAGGACCTCATCAGGGAGAAGCGGCGCATCGACGCCAGCGGCAAACTGAGGGTGATCAAAGAGCTGGCCATCGTGGAGGACAAAGAGTAATCGCAAGGAAGAGGATGATAGGGAGGGGGGCCCTGAG